GGTGGTGGATGGTTGGGGTTTTTCGGGTAAAGCCGGTTCGGATTTGGGGGTGACGTTGCTGTCGGGGGATTGGGGACAACTGTCTATGCGAGAGGCCATCAGGCCATTCTGGTATTCCTGTCGCGTGATCTGGGAAGAGGGAGGAGAGAAAAAAAAGCAGGGAATCCCATGGAATGGGCTCCAGGCTGGATGGGATCTCCCCAAAAGTCATCTAGTCCCACCCCCCAACTAGAGCAGGTTGCCCCATGGAGCTTCACCTTGAGTATCTCCAGGGATGGAAGGAGAGAAAAAAAAGCAGGGAATCCCATGGAATGGGCTCCAGGCTGGATGGGATCTCCCCAAAAGTCATCTAGTCCCACCCCCCAACTAGAGCAGGTTGCCCCATGGAGCTTCATCTTGAGTATCTCCAGGGATGGGGCCTCAACCACCTCCCTGGAAACCCGTTTCAGTGCTCCACCACCCTCCCAGTAAGAACTTTCTCCTCATCTCCGGTCTAAATCTGCTTTTCTCCAACTCCAAGCCCCTCATTGTGTCACTGCAGCCCTTTGGAACAACTGGAAGGGGCTCCAAGGTCTCCTCAAAGCCTTGTCTTCTCCAGGCTGAACAACCCCAGCTCCCTCAGCCTGTCCTCGGAGCAGAGGGGCTCCAACCCCCCCAGTATTTCAGTGACCCTCTCCATCAGCTCCATATCTTTCCTCCATTGAGGGCTCCAGACCTGCACACAACGCTCCAGGTGAGGTCTCACCAGAGCAAAGTAGCAGAATCCCCTCTCTGGACCTGCTGGCAACGTATCTCCTGATGTATCTCAGGATGGGGTTGGCCTTCTGGGCTGTGAGTGCCCACTGCCTGCTCGTGTCCATCAGCTCATCCATCAGCTTTGAGTTGGGGATGAGAAGTCAGGGCTTTGAGCAACCTGCTCTAGTGGGAGGTGTCCCTGCCCAGGGCAGGGGGGTTGGAACTAGATGATCTTTAAGGTCCCTTCCAACCCAACCCAACCCATGCTATGATTCTATGCAGCACCCCCAAGTTCTTCTCCTCGGGGCTGCTCTTCATCCCCCAGGCTGTATTGTTCCTCCACTTGCTCTTGTTGAACCTCATGAGGTTCACCTGGGCCCACCTCTCCAGGTCCCTCTGGATGACATCCTGTCCCTCTGGTGGATGGATACCACCCCACACCTTGGTGTCATCTGCTGATGGTGCTCTCAATCCTTCTGTCTATATCCTTGATAAAAAGGTTAAACACTATGGGTCCCAGCACGGCCCCTTGAGGGACACCTCTTGTCACCGCTCTCCATCTGCCCTTCCAGCCATGGAGTACCACCCTCTGGATGCGACCACCCACCCAATTCCTCATCCACTGAAAAGTCCACCCATCAAATCTATATCCTTCCAATTTAGGGAGCAGGATGTTGTGAGAGGACCACACCAAAGGCCTTACAGAAGCCCAGGTAGACCACATCCCCAAGTCATCCCATATCTCCTGACCTACCCAACCCATCATAGAAGGCCACCAGGTTAGGTGGAAAGCCCACCTAAACCTAAGCAAAGCCCAAGTGCTGCCTTTAGGAATTAGGGGGCGAGAGTGGTGTGGGGACATCCCTTTGGGTGGGGGGGTGTCCCTTGTTGACCTCCCCCTCCTCACCTTGACGAACTGGAGGTCGGTGAGGGCGCGGACGCTGAAGTCGGCCACGTACTGGGGCCCGGCGCTGGCGTTGAGCTGGTTGTTGCTGCCCCCGACGGGGGAGGAGACGGAGTCGGAGCGTTCGTGGTAGCTCAGGGAGGCCGAACGGTTCAAGCTGCTGACGTGGGACGGCGACCGGAGCTCTGCTGGGGTAGGGATGGGGGGACACACAAGACATTGAGGGGGGTCAACCACCCTGTAGGACCCCCCCATCAAACCCTGCACCACGTTGGTCACTCTACAAGGTGTTGAGCCCACCTTCTGGTGACACCGGTGAAGGCTCAACCCCATCTCGTGGGGCTTTGAGGACATGGAACCTGGTGGTCACAGGACACATGGCCACCTCAAGGCAACCCTGAACCCCCCCCATGATGTGTGTGACCCCCCCAGGCTGAGGCATCGCTGTCCCTCCCCATCACTTGCCCAACAGCCAGGGAACCCAGAACCTGGCCCAGACCCACACATCCCCCTGCCCCACGGTGGCCCCCGTGACCCACCTCCCCCCCAAAACGTTGGATGAGTCTCTCTGTGGGGAAACGGGGGGGTTTTGGGGACATGGGGACGTGCTGGGAAAGCTGGGGTGACACAGGAACAGCAGGGAGAGTTGGGAATGGCCACCACGCTGGCCTGCTTGGCCACCAATGTCCCCCCCCTGCTCTACAGGAGAAATGGGGGTGGTTATGGGGCACACAGGACCCTAATGTCACCACCAGTGGGGTCAGGGGACACCATTCCTCCTCTGGTGGCCCCAAAAAGAGGGGACAGTGGGTTTTCAACCCCCTCCCTCAGGCACGGACCTTCTGCCACATGGGTGGCAAGTACTGGCCACGCAGCACCCCCCACCCCGGGGTGGCTCAGAGCCCCCACAGCACCCAGGAGATCAGAGGGGGGGTCTCACCAGAGGGGGGAGAGGGGCTGATGGCCATCACCCCATAGTAGGAGAAAGCTCCAGCTTCAAACTTCATGCATTCCTTGCCGGCCTCCACCTCCACCTTGCCCTGAAGAAGGAGAGATGGACACCATGAGCCACGTCCCGCGGCGCTGGGATGGGTGGTGACCCCCCCCTTGGTGGGTGATGGTCACCTGAGGGGTTCCCCCAAGGGTTCCTCCCCAACTCCTTCACCCTGGGGTACCTGCAGGATGAGGATGAAGTAGTCAGAAAGAGGGGACAGTGGGTTTTCAACCCCCTCCCTCAGGCACGGACCTTCTGCCACATGGGTGGCAAGTACTGGCCACGCAGCACCCCCCACCCCGGGGTGGCTCAGAGCCCCCACAGCACCCAGGAGATCAGAGGGGGGGTCTCACCAGAGGGGGGAGAGGGGCTGATGGCCATCACCCCATAGTAGGAGAAAGCTCCAGCTTCAAACTTCATGCATTCCTTGCCGGCCTCCACCTCCACCTTGCCCTGAAGAAGGAGAGATGGACACCATGAGCCACGTCCCGCGGCGCTGGGATGGGTGGTGACCCCCCCCTTGGTGGGTGATGGTCACCTGAGGGGTTCCCCCAAGGGTTCCTCCCCAACTCCTTCACCCTGGGGTACCTGCAGGATGAGGATGAAGTAGTCAGCAGCCTTGTTCTTGCAGTAGAGGAAGTGGCGTGGGGACTTCTTGTTCTCATCATCAAACTTCAGCTCCTGGATGACGTCGGAGCATTTGAGGAGCCGCAGGAGGATCTTCTCCGAGATGAAGTTGGGGGTGAAAAGCGTCACCTCTGAGAGAGAAAAGGGACAGGGGGGGTCAGAGCCGCAGTCCTTGTCCCTCTCCCCACCCTCCAGGTGAAGGTACGGCCCCTCCATCCCTCTCTCTAGGCCCCATCGACACCTTCCTGGGGGAGAAACCCACGGGTCCGGGGGGGTCAGAGCCACAGTCCTTGTCCCTCCAGGTGAAGGTACGACCCCTCCATCCCTCTCTCTGGGCCCCATCGTCACCTTCCTGGGGGAGAAACCCACGGGTCCAGCCCCAAGTCCTGAGCACACACGTGCCAGGGAGGGAAGAGGACCATCCTGGAGGGACAGGGACCTGCTGAGCATCAGAGGCATCCCCAAACCCCATCCCTTCTCGTTTTGGGGGGAGCAGAGTGGGACAAAGAGCCAAGCACCCCGGAATTTCTCAACGAGATGGTTGGAGCGACCAACCACCGAGGTTGTCCCCTCGGTGTTGGGGACAGGAACAGAGCCCACGTGGCCACCGGGGCCACCAAACCCAACTCAACCGGTCTCGGGGAGCCATCTGTGCCGGCGTTTCGCAGCTGAGGGGTGTCCTGACCCCCCCCACACCTCCCCAAAACAACAAACTCACCGGTGGAGAGGAAGCGATGAGCGGCCAAGAGCAGCTGGGGGGACACCTTCACCTTCTGCTCATTGACGGGGTCCTTGAAGGCCGAGAAGTCCCTCTTGTTCTTCTGGTTGCCCACCCTCTTCCTGCTGCGGTTGTCGGCTGTGGGGAGCGGGGTGTTTAGGGGGTGGGGGGGTTGGTGGGGAAAGGAGGGACCCCGACATGCCGTGGGGTGAGGGTGGGGGAGAGCCCCAAAACCTACTGTAGGTGTCCGACTCGTCCAGGATCTCCGACTTGATGATCTCCTCGATGACGTCCTCCAGCGTCACCAACCCCAGCACCTCGTAGAAGGGATCTCCTTCCCCTTCGTTGTTCACCTTCTGCACGATGGCCAGGTGGGACTTCCCTGCGGACAGACACACGGACGTTGGAAAGGGGAGACCCCCCCAAACCCCCACCCTGGGGTACCCCCAGCCTCCCCACCGTGTCCCCGTACCCAGAGATGTCACCATCCTGAGATGTCACCACCCTGAGATGTCACCAGGACCAGCCCTTCCCTCCCCCTTGAACAGGAAACAATAAACGGGTGAAAAATCTTAACGAGCCCCTGGGCTGGGCACTAATTCCCAGCGTAATGACAGTAATTAAGCCCAGGAGAGTGGCGCCTGCCAGGCTCATGGCACCTCCCTGTCACCTCAGGTGGGGGTGACAAGAGCTGGGACGTGTCCCCAGAGGATCTGGGGTGAGTGGCCGTGGGGTGACAACACCCCGACACCAGGGACGCAGCCAGCAATTTGGGGGGGTCCCACCAGTGTCCCTGTCCCTCCCCGAAAGTCCCATCCCAGAGGAAGGGACACCGTGTCCCACCACCCCATCCCAGAGCCCAAATATCCCCAAATTCCTGCTTCCTCTCATCAAAAAGGATGTGTTTTGCCCAATTCTGGCTAAATTCGAAGCGCCGGTTGGCGGCCAAGCTCCTGCCCCGGCTGCCGGGTGCTCGCCGAGCCTTCCCCCCCTCCCTGTGCTCTTCCTCCTCTTTTATCCCAAAATCACACCGGGGAAAAACTTCCTGGGATGAGGAACATCCCCTTCTGCTGCAGGGAGGGAGAGGAGCCGAGCCTGGAGAAGCCCAGGGTGCCCCTTTGGACCCGGGACCCTCAGCCTGGGGAAACTGAGGCAGGGAAAAAGACCACTTTTCCCTCCCTGACCCCAAAATAAGGTGCCCCGTTTGAAACCCCCCTCCAGCCCCGGCCCAAATCCTCCCTCCCCGGCGTTATCCACTTATTTAATTTTAGAGCCGCAGGCCCCTTGTCGCTCAGGGAAAAGCTAATTTTAGGGACGGGCACTGGGCGAGCTCCCCTTTGTCTCCTTCTTCAGCCCAACCCCGGGGAGAAGGAGT